CCTCCCCTTTGTTCTTCTGCTCCTCTATCGATCGATCTCAGTCCATCGTCCTCCAGCCACATCCTACGGCCTTCGTCAACGTAGCCGCTGCGACAGCTGCTGCCCGAACATCAACCTGCCTAGCGGGTTTTGTTGTTCCTTTCCCTCCCTGTGGTGTGGTGTGGTTCTGGTGGGAGTGGTTCTTTGTCCCTCCCTCACCACCTTCTCTCGCCTCCCAAAATAATATCCTATCGGTTTGCTGGTGGTTCTGAAACCCTCTTGAACGCTGCTTCTCTGCCGATTTTTTATCCACTGATCGATCGTTTCGACGGTTTCACCCTCGGTCGCAGCTAAGGCCCCTCGCTTGGGGAAAGCGTTTCTGCTGCGGCTCTCTCACTTCCACTCTCACTTGACACACTCTCTCTTGATCTCACTTTCTCTCCCTGTGATTGACGGTCGGCTCCACGCACGCACGCGCGCACTCAGACAGACAGACACACACAGACACACACACATACACATACATAAAAAAAATACCTATACTTGGTGGTATTCACTGGTGAGCTTCGGCGGATGTTGACGACAAGCAAGACACTCGCGGATTGCTTTTCAGTTCCCCGTCGAGGGGTCTTCTGACATGAATCCCGCCAATTTCGGTAATGTAGGCGCCGGGATGCCAGGCAACCCACAGGGGCAGATGCAGATGCCTCATCGAGACCCCCAGGTTGTCATGGGCCAGGTCGCCCAGGCCTTGCAAGCTCAGGGTCCCTTCAGCGGCTGGAGGACAGAAGTCACCGTCAAGGAACGGGCCATGAAAGTCTATCAAATGTACGTTGACTGCCGGGCGTTTCTCCCCGTTGTCGCAGACTGACGGTTTTCGCAGGGTCACCTCTCTTCGTCTTATCACTCCACAGATCAATATCCAGAATGCGGCGCAGGCGGCCTTGACATTTGAGCAGAAAGCCTTCCGGGAAGCGAACCAAAAGGTCTGTTGTCAAGAAACCTCTTTCCTGGGTCATCTTGTCATGCTCATATATCCTTTTCTTTGTGTTTTTTCTAGGCCGATTACGACAGAGAATGCAACGAAAAGCTCATCCATATTCGAGATACTCGTGCTAGGCAGGCTGCGGTCATGCAGGGCGGCATGATGCCCCAGGGTGTTGCCCACAACCAAATGCAACCTCCTTTCGCGCAACAAATGAACCGACCTCCCATGCAGGCCTCTCCTATGCCCAATCAGCAGCAAATGGCTATTGAGCTTAATGATCCCGCGGCCCTGCAGCAACAGCGCCAGCAGCAACAGTCTCAGGTTTTGCTTCAGCAGCAGCAGCAGCAGCAGCAGCAACAACAACAGCAACAACAGCAACATCAACAACAGCAACAGCAGCAGCAACAACAAACACAAGCACAGCAGCAAGCTCAACAATCGCAGCAGCAACGCCAGCCTCAGCAACAGCAAAGACCACAGCAACGCCAAGGGAGCGGTGCTCCGCTGCCGGATGAACTCAACAGCCTGTCTGCCCAGGAGCATGAGCATGTCTGTCGCCTTGCTCGCCAGATGCTTGCTAAAACCTCGGCGGAAGATATGGATAAGATCAAAATGAACCTGCAGAACATGAATCAGGAACAACGGCAGTATTTGGCCAAGAAGGAAATGGACCCGATGACTTATTTCTTCCGCTCCCAAGCGCTCAACCAGTTACGCCGCATCAAGCGCAGCCGTATGGAGATGGCGCGCGCCCAGAGCGTTGGGGTCGATCTGAACGGCGCCATGATGGGCGATCCGATGATCAATGCCCAACAGCGCCAAATGTTCCAGAACATGATGGGCATGCGAGGCAACTCTGGCTTCCCCATGAACGGCGGCCAGCCCAACTTGGACCCATCCGCGTTTATCGGGAACGTGGAAAACATCCAGGTCCAGCAGGCAGATGGCCTCCGCTCCCAGGAAGCTGGTCAGCTCGTCGTGCCGGCTAGCTCGTCGCAGATGAACCAACAGCCCTTCTCCGCCTCCCAAAACATTTTCCAGCAAGTAGGCCAGCCTGGCCAGGCCAATGTGAATGCTCAGTTCCTCGCCCAGCAACATTTCCAGAATCCGAACAACCCTCAACAGGACCGAGCGCAGCTGCAGGCCCAGTCGCAGGCCGCTCAGGCTCAGGCGCGCGCCCAGGCCGCTCAGAAGGTGCAAATGGCCATGTCTTCCCAGAACAACCAGGGCAACATGTCTCAACAGAACCCCGCGATGCCCATGTTGAATCGCTCCATGGGCCCCGATCAGATGTCGCCGGCACAAGGAAACGCTCAGGTGCGCCCTCCCTCGCGCCCTCCCGTCATGCCCGCCGGTGCGCAGCCTATCGTCCCGCAACAATCCACCATGCCCGGCCGACCCCAGATCCCCCCCAACCTTCCACCGGCTGTGCATGAGCAGTTGGCCCAAATGTCTCCGGAGCAACTCAATAATTTCCTCATCCATCATCAACGCCGCACGGCCTCAAACAACCCCGCCATGGCCCGAGCCGGCGCCGCCCAACAGCCGATGCCTATGCCACCGCAGGCAATGTCTCCCGCCGGCCAGGCACAGCAGATGGTTAACAACGGACAGATGAACAATACGAATCCTAACACCAATAATCAAAATGTACGGGGTTCCATGGGCCTGCAGCAGCCAATGGCCGGTATGAACGGACAACAACCCCCCAACCAGATGCACCAGGGGCAGCTTCAGACGCTGCAACAGCGCCAGCAAGCCCAGCAGCAGCAGCTCTACAAACTCCAGATGCTTCGCCAGCAAAACGGGAATATGGAGATGACGCAAGATCAATTACGCGAAATGGATCGGATCGCTTTCCCTCCAAATCTTCTCAACACCAACCCCAACGTGGCTTCTCCCGTGCCGACAAATATCAAGACCTGGGGTCAGCTCAAGCAATGGGCAGCATCTAACCCGCAAGGCCCCGGCGGCCCTGATCTATCCCGGCTCCTGGCCCTCCAAAAGGTCCACTACATGCAGATTTTGGCACAGAACAAGGGCATGAACCGTCCGATGGATCCGAACGCGCAAATTCAGGGCATGGGGATGCAGCAGTCCTTCCTCAATGGGCAAGGGGTGCCACCTGGCCAGCAATCAGCGCCGCCTGTCAATATGCCTCAGCTGCGCCCGATCACTGCCGGCGACATCCAAATGGCTCGCCAGCGGCTCGGATCGCACGTTCAGAACTACACGGATGACCAACTCCGCGAACTTCTCCATCGGAATCGACAGAAGCAACTCATGACCGCCCAGAACCGGGCCGCTGCCCAAGCATTTGCTGCCGCGCAGCACATGACTCCAGGACAGCAAGCTCAGGCGTCCCCGGCGCAACAACAACAACAACAACAACAACAACAACAACAACAACAACAACAACAACAACAACCGGTCACCACCATGGCCCCGAGCGTGCCACCAGCCATGCAGCCCGCCGCCGCTCAACCGCAGCCGCCGCAACCGCAAGCCGCCGCAGCTACCATGGCACCGGGCAAGACACAAGGCGCTGCTGGCAAAGCCGCTAAACAACAGGCGACGGGTGCAGCCAAACCACCAGCGTCGCGTAAGAGGTCCAACAGCGATGATGTGATTGAAACCACTGGCCCCCCTGGAGCAGTGGTGCCGCCGGCGCAGCCCGCCACGTCGCAGGCGCAGCCGGCCCCGCGACCAAACGTTCCGACACGCGAGCAGCTCAATGCTATGACCCCGCAGCAGCGAGCACAGTGGGAAGCCATGCTGCGCAAGCAGCAGGGACAGCAAGGCCGTACGCCGATAAGCAAAGCTGCAGCTGAAGACGCATGGAACCAGCTGCCGGATACCCTGCGCCAGATCTACGCTGAAACACTTCAGTCGGCCCCGGTACCGGAGCCTATCCCTCTGTCGCCGGAACAGCGGGCACTTGTATCTAAGCATCTCCTCGAGTGCACGGATATGATCAGTAGAATGGATACCCTCGTCCAGTGGTATGCGCGATTTTCCGGCCAGGAGAAGAACGTGCGGAACCTTGTCGCCATGGTATGTTAAACCTACAAAGAAAAAAAAACCTATACAGGGAAAGAAGAAGAAGAAGAAGAAGAAGAAGAAGAAAAAAAAAAAGAAAATCTTGCTAATGACACTGTAACAGCGACTCCAATTGATGCGGCAATTCAAGCCTGGCCAGGATTGGGCACTCAACGATCAGATCACTGTGTCACCGGAGAACCTGGTTCAGACGATCAATTTTGTCAAACGTTGCTTCTCGGCTATGATTCAACATGTCCACAAGCAACAGACCCAGTTTGGGGCCGCACGCCCGGGCGCGCCCGGCGGCCAGCCCGCCAACCCGCTGGCCATGCCGGTTCTCAACGCCAGCAACCTGCAGCAGCTCCAACAGCAGGAGGAGGCGCTGCAGCGAGCCCGCCGGTCTTCCAGCCATGCTTCTGCATCGGTCCCTGCTGCACCATTTGGCGCTCCGTCACCGCAGGGCGTTCCCCATGCCTATGGCCCTGGAGGATTCCCACCGGAGAAACTGAAGCTGCCGCCCACAAAGAAGCGCAAGCAGTCTCACCCTAACAGCGCGACGGCCACCACCCCGGTGCAGAGTCTTCCAGGCGTCACTAGCCCCGTGGCTACCAAAGCCAAGCCGGGCACCCCCTCGGTGGCCGAGACAGCCGCCGCGATGGTGGGAGGAGGACAGTTCAAGTGCGCTGTGCCGGACTGCTCATACAACATCCAAGGGTTTGCGACGCAGGCGGCTCTGGAACAGCATATCGAAGAAAATCACCAGGTGGAGGAACCAATCGAAGACGCATTGGAGTTTGCCTTGCAAAGTTTCGAGAGCGGGCTGGCCAAAGAACCGCAGCGGCCGCCGCAGCAGCAGCAGCCCCTTCAGCCGCCGGCGATGGCTCGCATGACTGACGCAAAGAATGCCCGGCCCGACGGTGCCCTGTCGGCGATCAAACAAGACATCAAGTTGGAGGGTGGCGTCGTCACTCCCGCGACAACCGGAACAACGCCGATGGGCCGCGTGTTCAGCCAGCGTGGAGGCCCCAAGTCAACCACCTCGCCACCTTCTGTCCAGCTGACCCCTGCTGGCAAGTTGCCTGGCGCCACTGCTCTACTCAAGACTGCCTCCAGCGCGAGCAACAATGGCGGGCGCAAGGATGTTGGCAAACCTACCACCGCGACGGAGTCAGACCGAGCCATCGACGAGAGCGGCCTGGTGAAAGACCCGTGGGCAGACAGCCTGATCTCGCTCGACGTGATCGCGGACACGTTTGTCGACCTGGGCGCGGATTATGATCCCATCGATGAGTTCCTCCACGCGGACGCGTTCGCCCCCATGCAGGCGGAAGACACGCCGGACTCGGTCGACACCACGGGTTTAACCACGCAGACGCCACGCGACAACGGACTAGAGGCGACGGATGCGATGAAAGATGTCGGTAGCGACCTTGACAACGACGCTTGGGTGCCCATGGATTGGGTCACATTGCCTACCCGCTTCGAAGACGGAATCCTAGCCACCAACCCCTGGGAAGATCTCGACTGGGAATCGATCGAGCGCAAGGAGGCCGACCGGATGGACGACCACGGCCTGGCCATTATCGCTATGTAATGGAGACTAGGTACATAATCTTGTTGTACACTATCTGAGGATTTTTCTTCTTCTTCTTTTTACGACCATGTTTTACTCACCATGTTTACTCACCATGTTTACTCACTATGTACTTGCGGCTGGCGTTGAAAGAAATCTCTACAGGATGGAATGGCTGGGCTTTTTCTTTTGCTTTTCTTATTATTTCGCTGTGATTTTTCTCTGCAAGATACCTTGGATCTGGAAGTCCATTCTACAGCAATCAAAAGCGTTCTTACTTTCTATACTCTCTAATGTAGCACAACATAGTCACCTACAGAGCACGTCTTATTCCATACTCTATAACCATACTTAATAATCAACTACTGTGGGTGGCAATAGCTGCAGCTTATCAGAGATCGCCCAATGCCGCTGCTGATAACGTCGTCTTGTCTCCTTCATTCTCGCCCGCTCCATTCACCGCTCCCTTTGTTCTCCTTCCCTGCGCTCCCCTCTCGACAGTTCCAGTGTAGGGGCTCGAGGCTCTTCTTCTTTTTCTTAGGACTGCAAGTCTTGTTCATTTAACTACGCTGCTTGAGTCGCTCGTCTGTGGGAGTTGTCCAAATTGCTGCCTGTCGGTGCAACCAACGTCACAACCCCTCCACTTCAACTCCGCCGTGAAACATTACCTACCATCTCTATTATCACCCGTTTATTTTGACCTGTAAAGAACCGAGCAGGAGCAGCTGGGTGGCAGCAAGATGGCTCGCAATCCGGTCATTCCGTTTCTCGTCGCTATGATGCTCGCGACGGGCGTCTGCAACACGATCCTGAACAAGTATCAGGTAAACAAACACACCGAAGCCGAGGTCTAATGAAAAGAGTCAATTGACTGACTCGAATGAACAGGATATGCAGTGTGTGCGAAACTGCGAGTCGGCTGATCCGAAAGAGCGCAGGACGTTCGAGCAGCCGGTCATCCAGACGTGAGTATAC